CAGAAATCTCATCAGGGAAATGTATTAGTTCACCAAATAATTAGCTGTTTAATGAGCACTGATATGTTCTTGCTAATATTGCATACTAATTGAGGTTTCTTGGCTTTGTTTTATTATTGTGCAATTCCCTCAAACTATTTCTCTCCAAAGAGCTATGGGAAATTTCCTATTTATTTATTTATTCATTCTAATGTGTTATACATGACAGCAGAATGCATTGCGATCCATATTACACATATAGAGCACAATTTTTCATGTCTCTGGTTGTACACAAAGTAGAATCACACCATATGTGTCTTCATACATGTACTTAGGGTAATGATGTCTATCTCATTCCATCTTTCTTACCTCCATGCCCCCTCCCCTCCCTCCTCTTTTCCCTATCCAAAGTTCCTCTATTCCTCCCATGCTCTCCTCCCCATCTCCATTATGGATCAGCATCCTCATATCAGAGAAAACATACGGCATTTGGTTTTTTGGAATTGGTTTACTTCACTTAGCATAATATTCTTCAACTCCATCCATTTAGCTGCAAATACCATGACTTTTTTTAATGCTGAGTAGTATTCCACTGTGTATATAGACCACATTTTCTTTATCTACTCATCTATTGAAAGGCATCTAGGTTGGTTCCACAATTTAGGAATTGTGCTACTATAAACATTGATGTGGCTGCATCTCTGTAGTGTGCTGTTTTAAGTCCTTTGGGTAAAGTGATGCAGCCAATATGGAAATTTCCTCTTTAAACTAAAAAAAAAAAAAAAAATTAAAAAAAATAAAAAGTCAAACAAGTATATTTTCATTAATATTTAAATAAAAAGGCAAAGTTCTATCACTTCCCAGCCCAGTTCTGTCCCCAGAGATAATGGTAGTTGTCAGTTTATATCCTTCCAGATTATTTTTGTGTATTTCTTGACATATATACAGTTATGAGTGATTTTTTTTTACAGATAGGATCATATTGTTTATATCATTCTTCAAATTCTTTCTCTCCCTTTAAAATGTCTTGGAAATTCACATGTCAGTATGTTTAGATCTAATTTACCTCATTCTTTCCAACAGCCTCATAGTAGTCTGAAGAACTGAGGTACCATGGTCTAATTATTTGCCTGTTGACACAGAATGGTTCCAGTTTTTGCTATTGTTAAGCAATGCAGTCATCATTGAAAATCCTTGCACATACTTCTTTCAGTGAAAATGAGATTATTTCTCTGAGAAACTTAGAAGGAGAACTGGGGCTTCGAAGCATAGCCAACTCTGTCAACTGGCTGAACCTGCAACTGTTCCCTCCCATTTCTAACTTTCTCTCCTGCCTCTTATAAGGAAGGGAAAGCTGGAAACACTTTCCTCACTTTGCTTGCAGCCAGGGGAGGCCATGTGATCCATGAACAAAAATTTGCTGGGCAGTCTCTAGAAATCTTTTTGCATTCCAGAAAAAAGGGAAAAACATGACTAGCACTGTCTTTTCCCCTGCCCTGAAGGTGGCTAGTGTTTGGAGGGGTTGCAGCCATGTTACAACTTGAGGGAAAGTCAAAAGAGAATCACTGTGACACTGGCCCTGAGAGCAATGAGCTGCTAAACCAAAGCCAGCAGCACCCTACTTCTAGACTGCTTATTATATGAAAGGAAGAAACAACTATTGGTTTAAGCCACAGTTAAGTCTGGCTTTCTATTACTTGCAGCCAAATGCATTCCTAACTAATTCAAAACTAAATTACTCTTTTAAAAGTCTGTACTTGCTTTATTTTATCACAAACGTTTATTGAGTACCTATTTCACAAACCTTTATCTACTGAACAATGACAGGTTTAAATGTTTATCCAAGCTGACACATGAAAAACATTTCACATGAACAGAAGGCCATATATTTATTGGCCTTTCAGATTTCCTCCCCCATTATTTTTTTCCTTCATATCTTTTGTCTACTTATCTACTGTACTGTTTGACTTTTTCTCATTGATTTAAACAAGAAATTTTCAGATAGCAAAATACCCTGAGTTAAACTTTTGGGAAATTCATCTTTGCATTTTAACTCTATCAGCCAAATCAAACATGACTGTAAGAAATAAATCTTGCATGACAGGCGAGGCTGACAGTGACTGTCATCTCTGAGCGGGGCCACCACCATGTGGCAAAGTGTCAAGAAGAAATTCAACTCATGCAAAACACTATAGCTTGTACTTCATACTTCCTTTGTAAATCTACACTGACAGAAGGGTTTATAGGATAGTGACATATTGGTGAAATAGGCACCATCCTCAATGGACACATCTCTTTTGACCCTCACATGAAACCCAAGAGATGGTCACTATTATTCCTATTTTACAGAATAAATGATAAAAGTAATGATTTCAAACCAATTGTTTCTTTCCTAACATAAAACTTCCAAACATTCCAGGCCCAATATTTAAATAAAATATTAATATTAAAATAAAATAATTGTTTACTTCCATTTAAAATGATATAAAATGTATCATGCCTGTCTGGAGATATAATATACTTAAGCTAGAAACATTGCTGAGCCTGTTCTTTTTTTTTTTTTTTTTAAAGAGAGAGAGAGAGAGAGAGAATTTTTTTAATATTTTATTTTTTAGTTCTCGGCGGACACAACATCTTTGTTGGTATGTGGTGCTGAGGATGGAACCCGGGCCGCACGCATGCCAGGCGAGCGCGCTTGAGCCACATCCCCAGCCCTGAGCCTGTTCTTATTAATCTGAATAAACTGTTTCAAAATTTCACTCAGGTTTATTGTCACACTACATATAACCAAAATTATACCTACTTTTGAAAGTAAAAATTTTACCTCTTCGGCTGAGTAGAATTTTAATGCTTCAACAAGAAGTATCTACTTAGCTAACCACCCCACCCTAGGACAGCAGGTAAGGAATTCCCCTAATCAGTTAACAACCAACCAGTCTGACCCTGGAAAACAAAAATAGGCTATTAAAGATATTTAAAGATTGTTATGAAAAACAATGTAAATACGCTGAAAACAAGCACGATAGAGTTTGGATTGACTGACTCTGCTTTAAAAATCTTAGCAGTCAGAGGAAAAGGGAAATGTGGCAAAAGTGCCTGCTCCTGGAGTCAGGTGGGGGCAGCAGCAGGGCTCAGGTTCTAAATATTTCCCTGCATTATGCACACCTCTCCCAACAAGACCTGAGGATCCTCTGGCAAAGCATCACACAAAGCACTCAATCCACACCAAGTAAGGAGCACAGGCAGCAAGCATCCTGCCAAACCTTTCCTGGGAGAAACACCCACCTGGGTTCCCCGCAACACAGCCCCTGTGGCAGAAGGCCAGACCACCCAGGTGCTACCCACATGGACCCCAGGGAGACATGGGCTTCACCCAGAGCACCTTCTTGCAAAATTTTTAGCCTATCTCTAAGACATAGAAAACTACTTGGGAGAGTTTTAATTCTTTATTTTGTATGAAAGAACACCAATCTGCAGACACATCTGTTTACAGTCTACAAAAGTGCGAATGGATTGACAAATCCCCATCCTGAGGGCATCTCTGATAATTCCTTCTATTTCTCTGGTGGCTTGTCTAGGGGCCTCTGTTTGGGAAGAGGCAGTTCAACATTCCTCCCACCCCCACCCAGATTCCTAGTAGTAGACACTCTCCTAGCTCTCTGGTACAGAAAGGGTGGAAGCATGTGGAAAGAAATCTGACTCTTTTCCAAAGTCCGCTGTGGCCAGGTCAGCCCTGGAGAGGGCAAGGGGCCCTGGAGGGTCCAGGTGTTTGCACAGCACAGGGCAGGAAGAGCGAGGCAAGCTTTAGTCAACAGGACAAAAAAAGCCAGATTGCTTGGCCCTTCAAAACAGTATGTCCAAGCCTCAGGACACCAGAGGGACAGTAAGCAAGGCACTTGAGAGAGGGGGGCACCAAGTCTCTAAAGAGGCAGAGACAAATATAAAAAGGCAGGAAGAAAACAGAAGTGGGGGACTGGGGCCAAAATCAAACCAGATACTACAACACAGCACTGGCTGAATCCTTGGTCAGATCTCTGGGAGGGGATACTTCTGGCACCTTAAGGACTCCCCAAGTGCCTGTTAGAGCTGGGTCAATAAAGGACTGTGGGAGGGTTAGGCCTTGTAGATCCTCCCAACAGACTGGTGGCCCCCAGACAAGAGCCCAAAAGAAGGTATGGCTCAGCACTACCCCTCCTCCCCCCACACACTCTAACACTTCCACAGCCAACTAAATATACAGTGACACATGGCCTGTCTGTTGTGCACATACATCTGTATGCACAGGTTCATAGTTAGGCATGTAGACGCATATACAGCCTCACTGTGGATGAGTGATATACACACCCTCCCAGTGAAGGGACATAACACATTCAATCTGCTAGCCAAGTGTTGGGTGGTACAGGCATACAATCACACACATACACAAACTCTGTCAGAAGTGAAGACACATACAATGTCTCTGTAGGCTCCCACTACTGAACACACATTGCGCAAGCTCTTCGACCAGTACATTCAAACCTCTACATAAGATACATGCACAAACTCTCAGCCTGTCAGGCAAACATGCATTAAAACCTGTTAGGTGCGAGCCCCCACCCCCCACCCCACCCCCGCGCGTGAATGCACGCGGACACACACACACACACACACACACATCCTTACAATCTCTATTACGGCATGTGCAAACACACATGTAAGTACACACACTCAACCTGTCAGATGCTCAGCACACCCACAACCTCTCTGTTAAGTGCACACACACCCTTTCCTATGGTTCTGTTAGGTACACACATGAAATCTACCCGGGCACACACACGATTGATCACAACTTCTCTGCCAGCGCATGCACACGCACACTAGCTCAGTCAGCACACGCACACTCTGCTCCAAGCGCATCCCACACCCACGCACCCTCCTGGCCGGGTGCACCCTCCCCCAGGCCGGTGCCGGCGCACACAGTGAACTCCGGCAGCGCGGGTGTGCACACGCCCCCCACCGCAGCTGCCCGCGCCCCTCCTCACCTTTCTCGCCCGCGCCAGGCGCCCGGCCCTCGTCCTCCTTGGGGTTGGTCACCTGGGTGATGATGGCCGGGCCGTCCATGGGTGCGCGGCGCGGCGGCCGCCCGCAGGCCCGGCCCCCCGCAAGCCAGGCGCACGGGGGCGCGGCGCGGGGGGCGCGCGGGGGCGCGGCGCGGGGGGCCGCTCGCCGCCGCCGCCTGGGCGCGCCCGCCGCCCGGCCCCGCGCTCTGGAAGAGGCGGCCGGGGCCCGCGCCCCAGCTCCCGCCGCCGCCGCCGCCGCCGCCGCCGCCGCTGGGCTTGAGCGGCCGCCGCCTCGTCACCATGAACCCCGGAGCCGCGCCCGGGAGAGCCGCGCACGAGGAGGCGGAGCGGGAGGCCCAGCGCCGCGGGAAGCGGGAGCGGGCGGGCGGCCGAGAGGGAAGGAGCGAGCGAGGAGCGAGGAGCGAGGGCGGGCGGGCGGGAGGGAGGGAATGAGGGAGGAAGGGAGGGAGGGAAGGAAGGAGGGCGGGCGGGCTGGTGGGTGTATCCCGGCCCGGGGACCGGCCTCCACCGCCGCCGCCGCCGGCGCTGCCCGCCCGCCCGGGGGGAGAGGGGCGCGGGGCCGAGACGCGGGCGGTGAGTGGAGGCGGGAGGGGGCGTCCCCACGCAGGGGGTGGGGTCTGGGGCAGATGGGTGGGGCGCAGGCTTGGGGAGAGGGGGCGTCAGAGGGGTTCTGGGATGGGTGTCGGGAGACCTGAGCAAACGAATGGAGTGAGGGCTGGGGGATGAGCCCGGGGCAGATGCGTGGGACGAGGGGCGTGGGGATGGACTGGCAGAGGCCCGCTGATGTGTGGGTGGCATTCGGCGCGGTGTGGGGGCCCGGGGGCTGAGGCGGAATCTCGAGGAGGCAAGAGCGAGGGCAGCCGAGACCGGGTGTTTACCCGGACAAGGCCAGAGTCTCGTAGACATCTGGGGTCGGTAGGGGATGCTGGGTGAGGGGCGTCCTGGCACTGCAACCGACCCGCCAGGTGCGTGGGCGCGGAGGCCCGGGCTGCAAGGCAGTGGTCCTTCACACCTGGGCGGCCCGCGGAGGGGTGCGAGAGGGACTCTGGGACGCTGAGCATCAGGGGAATGCGGGAAAGTTTCGGTGAGACCCGGGAGTGACGTGGGGTGGTAGAAGGGTCCCCGGATGCGAGGGCGAGAAATGTCCCGCCGGGAAGTCTGTAGACCCGGGCAGAACCCGCATCAGCACTCGAGCCAAGCCCGCTTGCGGGGCGGCAGGACTTCGAGGATCTACGACACCGAAAAAACCTGGGCAATGGGCATTTCCGGGTGATCCGCAGCTAGGTGGTCTGGGGGCCCTGTTGAGGGCTCAAGAGTGAAAGGGGCCTCTGGTGGGCCGCGCTGGACAAGGAAGGTGCATGTGCTGGGAAACCGACCACAGTCAGGCCTGGGTCGACGGCCAGAAAGTGGACAGGACAAGAAAGCGCCCCCTCCGTCTCGGAGGGTCTCATCCCTAAGGCATCAGCGCATTCTCGTTCCAACTTGCGGGCCACATTCGCTGCCCAGTAAGCCAGTGGGCGGGGCAGTGCCGCAGGAGGGCGGGTGGTGTGTGTGGGGGGGTGCGCTCTCGCTCACTCTCCACCAATCAAGAGAGCTTGGGCGGGCCGGCGGAGCGTGACGTAGTTGGGCGGGGCTGAGTGGGCGGCCTGGCAGAGAACTCCAGGCCTCCGCTCGCCGCCTAGAGCGCGCGCTTTGGGCCTGGAGGGCAAGTCCTGCCTGAGCCCCGGGACTTTCAGCAGGCGAGGCTGACGGGACCTTTCCAAATTTTCCGCCTCCCGCAAGCCTGGATCTGGACTCAGTCCGGTCATGTGCTTCCCCCGGGGGACCAGTGAGCCTTCCCAAAGTTTTCAAGACACTTCCTGAAGCGATTCTGCTAGAGGTCAGTCCAAAGACCTCACTCTCCTCTTTGGAGAGAGACCTGGGACAAGGCTGCAGAGATTAGGCAGGTAGGAAAGCACTTAAGCAGACCTGCTGTAAAATGTAATTGTTAGTCAAGAGGTGGGTGTTTTGCCCTCAAATCCAAGACCACAGTGGCATTCTGGCACTGCATGGAGGTGGGGATGGAGGGCTGATGACAACTGCCCTTGAAGTATGCTCACCCATGAGTAGCTGTTCTTCTAAGGACAACTTTGGGATCCCAGTGAGTAACCTGGGGCAGCTGAGCCAAGAAGATTGAAATGCCCTTTTGGTTAGGAAGAGAAGCCTAGGTTTAAGTAGACAAGGCTCGAGGGCATGACCTCGCTAACCTTCCCAATTACAAACTGAATTAGGTGCAGGACACCCAGGACTTCTTTTGTCCCAGCTTTTGATGCCCCTTCATGTTCTGAGGGTGTGACTGGTGGCCTGGTGAACTCAGATGTTCTCTGAATTAAATTGAAAAAGACTACTGAATTCTAAGGAGTCAGAAGGGGACCTTACAGAGATAGGTGTTTGGGGAGGTTCTAGGGATACAGTTCTACAAGTTTGGGTATATCTCCACAGAGATCAGTGTCTCTGCTCTCTGGTTGATGAGGCATCCCAAATAGTCCATCAGCAAGAGTCAGCTGATGGGAACACTGGGACTCACTGTCCATGTGGATAAGGCTGGTATGCCTTTGGAAGCAGGAGGGTGAAGGTACTTCCAAAAGTTCTGTTCACTTTACCAAGGGTAGGAAGGAACTCGACAATCCTTAGGAGTACAGAGCCACAGGAAGTGATTTTCACCTGTGGAGTCTGTATGGTTTGGCCTTTTCTGCAGCAGTGACTCCTTGGAACACTTTAGTAACAATTTTCCCTCACCTGCAACCTCCACCATCCTCACCTTCATGAGATCACCTCTCAACCTTCATCTCAGGCCCATGCAGGAAAACAGCTGTCTTTTAAAGCCCTTGTTCCTTTCCATATGCTTCATTTAAAATTTCAATTTATTATTTACTTTATAAATATTAATAGAAATCAAAGAAAAATCTTATCCTATCCTTAAATCTATCTTTATTTTCCTCCATTTCCCTTGTCCTTAATTGTATGCTGACTAAATTTTTATGTAGCTATAATGTGTTTAAAATTCTTGGTTACATTTTTCCATATGGTGACATAATCGTGGTTAAGTGTCATTATAAATGATTGCACCTTACTAAAAGGTCATTATAAATGATAACACCTTACTAAAAGGGTCTTAAATAACACAACATCTTGGTTTTATATGTGAAGGAAACATTTAAAATTTATTGGAACAACTTGATTATCCATGAAGAGAAAATATGTTGTTACTTTAGTTCTTACTGTATATTCAAGATCAATCAAATAATTAAATATAAAAATTAGCAAATATACCAAAATAGATTTCAGCAAATTCTTTTTGATCTTGGATGAGAAAGACCCAAGAATGATAAAAATTCCAGAAATTTTAAAGGATAGGATTGACAATTGTTCATTCAATAAACATTTATTGAGTGCCTTCTGTGTGGTAGGTTCTGTTCTAGGCACTGAGAATCTTAGCATTGTCCAAAGTGAGAATTAAGGAGTTGGGCTCATTCCCTCACACAAGTCAGTCATCATGGCTAAGGGTCATTTGGGGGCTTAAGCCTCCAACCATTTAAGGGCTCTCTGGGAATTTGAGCAAAGTGGCCCCAGCAACTAGAAGACAGCCATTGGAAGTCAACACATAACAATCCCCAGAGAAGGATGCCCAGAAACAGTAAAAAGGGTCTGAGGGGCTCTAGAAAGATCACCAAAGTGTTGGTGAAAGTCACAATTCCCAGACTCCCATCATACAGTGACCTTGCTCCACTTGTACAAGAACAGGTGTCATGTTTAACTTAATTTTTATTTAAGTATATTTTCAAACTGAAAACTAGCAGATAACATTTTAAAAAAAAAAAGGCAAATAGAAAACATAGGAAGGACCATGACCCTATAAAGAAAGTGCTGCAAAGAGTGACAGAGAAGAGATTGGGATGCCAAGGACAGGGGAACATAAGGCTAGGGCTGGTGAACTTGGTCCCAAGAGGCCAAAGATAGGAACAGATAGGAAGGTAAGACATATTGGTGATGGCATCCTGGACTAGAGACTGTTAGAACCCTAGAGTAGAGCTCTGATATGGGTGGGATAGGTGAACTATTAAAGTAGAGATAAGACTCTTGTAAGGACACTAGGGTGAGCAGTGAGTGAGGTTGTCCCTGAGGAAAGAACACTGGACATTGGGATCAAAATTTGAAATGGCTAGGTTTAGGGTTTTGGTGATGGATAGAGCCCAGATCAAGCAAAGCCTTCTACACCAGGAAACACATCTGGGCTTGATTTAGGGAGTGGGGGATGGAAGTGACATAATCAGACAGTGTTTAGAAAATTCCTGCAGATTAACAGAGTGTGTTGGGACAATGCAAGAGGCAGGGAAACATACAGAAGATGCTGCATTAATATATAAAGAAGATGATGACATTTGTGGGGATGGAAAGGGCTGGGTAGACTCCTGATATATTTTGGAGGGAAGATGAACAAGTCTTGCCTACAATTGGGTTTGAGGAATGAGGGATGAGCAAGGAGGAAATGGCCTCCTGCTTTCTGGCTTGGGCACCCAGGTAAAGAGTTGAGGGTCCTCTGAGATGCTCACTGCATCTGTCATTTCCAGACTGCTCCTGACTACCCTCCATACTTGAATTTCTCCTCCATGTTGTTTTTTTCCCCTCATCCTGCTATATTTTCTTTAATTAAGTACAAAGGCATATCACCTAGAGATCATTTATTTCAGCCACTGCTCTGCTTGGTTGCCAGTCTCTTGTCTCTTTCTTCAGCAATAGTAAGGCAGATTCCTTTTCCTCATGGAAGAGAAATCCATGGTTTGTTTCCTTTGCCAATAACAAAAACGTTGGAGAGCCCGGTGGCAAAGCTGTTGCCACTGGCATCTTTCACATGAACCACATCAAAATAGCCAGGATCAATCTATTTATCTATCTCTATATCTCTGTCTATCTATCTCTCTCTCCTTCCCTGCGTGCCCCCTCCTCCCTCCCCCCTGCCTTCTTCCCTCCTTCCTCCCCCTCTCCCTCTCCCCCTCCCTTCTCTCTCTCTCTCTCTCTC